GGGTCCCTACGAATAATCTGTAAAGGGTATTCTAATTGCTAAGGCCCACTGTATTACTGTATGAGCTATAGTCTAAACTCCATAATGGGGGTTATAATAGGGATTATATAGGGGGACTACTAGAGGGGATATTATGAGGGATAATAGGAGTTTAGACTATAGCTCATATTAGGGAAATCGGGGGTGTTGACGCCGCTGACTTCGTATTCTCTCACTCATCGCCACCTTTGGTGGCTTTCTGACCATTTAGGGTTTAGGGTGTAATACAGGGGCCGGAATCACTAAGTTATTTCTTGGGGTCCCTACGAATAATCTGTAAAGGTATTTTAGTTGCTAAGGCCCACTGTATTACTATATTAGGGAAGTTGGGGGATAGCCTGTCAGTCATCGCCCGCAGTGGCGAATGTAATGGTCCTCACAGGGACTTGGTTTTGTATGGGCTTTAAGGCTGGGTTTGGGGGTTTAGGGTTTGCGAGTGAATGCCTTAGAAGGCGTCGAGTTTAGGCAGAGACCCGGAGGCCCAGCAAGCTTACAAAAACCGTATCAGCAAGTCGGCAGAGACTAAGACGGATGCCTAGGAAGCCCACAAAAAACCGTATCTGCAAGTCGATGCATCCAGAGCTGCTGCAAAGTTTCAGCGGCAGAGAAAGCCTTCTAAAAGAATATCTGCAAGTCGATGCATCCAGAGTTTCGGACTTACAGGGTTTTTAAGGTTGAGGGTGCTGTGCCTCTCCGATATCATCAGCCTGACCACTTCCACATACCGGTCCTTGCAGGGCCACCGCGTGGGCAGCTGAGTTATGGCTGGGAGTTTAGGTGCTCTATAGGGCTCTCGATCTGGGGATGGAGGCTCAGATGGAAAGCTTCCAGAAACAAGAGGGCATGGATGTGAGCTTGCATCATTTCTCCCCCACGGCCTGGACAGCATTGCTCGCATATCGACCATCGCATGTACGGACGCGCCAGGAGACGCGTTTACAAGATGTTACTTCTGGTGTTTGATGGTGCTTGTCTCTACAAATCCATGCCAGCGTCAGACTCAAAACGGGCATTGCTTCAGCTTGTGTGGTGCCGAGACGCTCGATACGCCGTGGCTACCTTTTGCTGCAGGCACTCTAATTAGGAACCTACGGAGGAGATGACAGGGAGCTTTCGGGCTATTTCTTTCACATGGGGCGTCTGCCTCCACAGAGCATCCACAGTCGAACGGCCTTGCCGTAAGAATTCTTGAAATTCAGACAGCATGACCGCAAAATACGATCTTGTCCATAGCGGCGCGTGTCACCAATGCGGAAACTGCACCGGAGGCACACGACGTGGTAACTAGATCTGTAGAGCTGACGACCTAGGCAGTATTTGTAGTGCGCCGTACCATCAGCCAGGTCAGCTCCTCGACCGTGAGGTCGCCGGCTTTCTTGAGCAATCGTCGCTTTCTACGGGCCTGCGCACTGCTGAATCAGCTGCATGGGGCAATTTGCCGGAAATCTGAGGCGAAGACCTCATTCCGCATTTGCTTGGTGCAATCCTTCAGCTCCTTCTTTAAGGTGGCACGCTGCGCTTTCAGCTGGGCAATTGGATCAGCAGGCGCGGGCGGCGCGGGATCCGCTGCACGCTCCTGCGCGAAGACTGCTTCGCACATAGATGTCTACCGAAAATGCACACTGCAAATGATGCCGGGGCGAGCACGCCTCAGCCATGGCATCGTCACCCGCACGCTCGGCTGCCATTCTACGCAGCCAAAACAAGCCTCGGACCTCTACGTCTCAGAGCCACAAAAGCTCATCGAATCATTGCATGGTGAAGCACACACATCTCCAAGGATACGTGTCAAGTAGCACCTGAATTTGCCATGTTGGAGGGCCTATTTGTTGGACCCGGAAATGGCCAACCATCGGGCTTCAGCATGACGGGCCCTAGAAGTATTGGAGCCCGAGTGCCCGGTGCCACCGGGCCCACTCTGGGGCGTGAGCACCCCGACCTTGCAGGCTGAAGCATTGCTTTCCTGTTCCGGCATGCGTTTTTGCTTGAGCACGGGAGCTGTCAGCATCCAGGTTGCATGAGCAAAGGATAGGCATACTCCATGCGGCGCCTTTTCAGCCAGATGCAGCTTAGCTGCTCTGGTGTAGGCTTGTCTGGGCTGCTCATAGCCACAGCATCGCCGAGCTGCCGTTTCAGCGCTCGGTTGAGGACTGCAACATCCCCTGTTGTTCCTACAGCAGCAAAGGCTCGTGACCACGATCTGGCTGCGAAAAATTTGCGAGGAACCGTCCGGAGCAGCTCCATCCATGCAATCTCAGACACTTCGGAGTTGTCAGACGCCTGTCGTAGCGCCTGAAACTTTGCCGCCCACCACATCTTTAAGCTGGAGAAGGCAGCGATGTCAAGGGGTTGCAGTATCGAAGTGAGCGATGCCGGAATATAGACCAAGTGGATATGGTTGTCTCTGGCCGTTTCCATGACCTTCGCAGGCAAGTGACATGGAGCTTGGTCAAGGAGGAGTACTGGAGTGTAGGTGGCTAACCATGGAGCCAGATGGGTTCCCAAATGTTGGAGAATCTCGACCATGCAATCTGCAGTGTTCCATGCGCTCTTCCGGCGCCATACTTGCAGATGACTCGCTGGCAGCGAGGCCACCTGTCGCTCTAGAGTCCTGGTTAGCTTGTTCTCATTCACTATAAGGAAATGAGGTAAACATGCTTGAATTCCTGCATTGTTGGCAATGATGGCCACATATGTCGCCGCGCCACGAGTTTCTGATTTCTTGACCCGGATGCGTGGCTCCAAACCTTGCTCATTCCAGTATTTGCGTGACAGAACCATTCCGGAACACGGCCGAGCCAGATACCCGATGGATGTCTCGTCCAGGTTCAGCATCAAGACCTGCTTTGGCGAGCATTGCTGCTGACGGTACCGCAACCATTGCCAAAAAACTGACACCTGCGCAGAGGCAGGCTAGCNNCGCAGGGAGGGCGCAAATCTGCGCCCAGAAACTAGCGAGTTTGGTGACGCGCCTTCTTGACCACGGTGTCCGGCTCGAGGTCCTCCTGAAATTTCAATGCACGGCGCTGGACACCCCACCGCTGCCTCCACCGGGCAGCCCAGGCATTGATGCTTCGCTGACGGGGCATGCCATCCTCGTCGCTGATTCCTCCAGTCTGGCGCAACCTGACCTGCAAGAAAACTTCCCGGGCTGTAGGCGCCGAACCATGTTGGTAGTTTTGCACACCCACCCAGGTCAGTGCTGCTTCCTCTGCGAGGAACTTGGCAGCCTTCGTAACAGCCGACTGCCACGCTTGGTTCCTGGGAAAGGAGACACTCAGGATATCTTCTTGAGAAGCCGCTAGGAAAATGTCTTCAACGAAGCGTTCGCTTGCTTGCAAACGCTGTCCGGAGCTTGCAGCTGATGCAAGGTGCTGCGCCAGAGTGGCCGCCTTGCTCACATCATACTCGGAAAGGATGTAGGCGGCAAGGACTTGTTTGCAAGCTGCCGGCCCCAGTCCGCAGGAACTCTCCCGCTTTCTGAAACGTCGCTGCCGCTGCGACGTGGTGCGGAGCCCCTTAACAGTCTCTTTCAACTGCCGCTTCAAGCTCTCCACACGTGCAGCAGTGTCGACAGCGCACGGCGGAGCAGGCAACACGAGCTGCTCCATGCCACGCAGAAGCAGTCTACCTGGAGCCTACCTCCTGCCTGCACCCAGAGCCAACCGAAAATACAAAACCCATGATTCGGCTATACAGACTGCTGCGGTTACACGGCCGCCGTAGACCGAGCAAGTTTGGCGACGGGCAAGTGGTCTGTACTTTCGCTGGTGCCTTGAACTCATTGCCACTAGAAGACTCCTGGGATTTTGCTGTCGGGTTCGCTTGGGCTCAAGTCCGAAAAAAGACCTGCGACCCGACCCACAACACGACTATCGAATCTGCGTGCGTGCAGACCAGTTCTCAGCGCCGTCCCTGGGCAATCACGTCCTGGCGTGCAGCAGGCCGCATAGGCCCCGAATCCGGGCCGCGCAGCGGCCCAAAAAAGCAGCCCTCTGCGAGGGCTCACTTTTTGGGCCTCTGCACATTCAGGGCTTATGAGGTTGAAGCTTGCCCTGCGCCCGGAATCCAGGCAGGAAAATCGAACCCAGAAGCTGTGTTCTTAAGCAACCTCCACCTGCTCCAAGGCTGAGACAATCACCTGGGCCCTTTTTGCATTTTGCAGCAAAGGCGGTTCAACCGTTGTGCTTCACTCGTAGCACGGGCCGCGCAGCACCAGCTCAAACATGTTTTCGCGGATCCAGGGCTCGTGAGAATTCCACACAGCACTGTCATCCACGGTCATGACTATGGGGACTTTGTAGACCCACACACGATATGCATACATGCCTGTTTGGGATTGACCCAGTGTGTGCACGGAGTTGTTGGACTGCACCAGGGCGCGGTAGTCCAGCACGAACTGCATATCATTCACGTTGTCAAAGAGAATGTACCCGTGAGACTCTTTGTCAAACTCCTTCAGATCAGGGGCCGGTGCACCCTGAACCGTCTGGATGTAAGGGCTGCCCCAGCCATATACATCGCCAAGCGACTTCGCCAGCGTGCTCTTACCAGTTCTGGACCCCCCCCGCAAGACCAGGAACTTGTACCGGAGTTGGTCCGCGCTGTACTGGTCAGCCCAGGGCTGCAGAGCAGCCAAAACTTCAGGTCGGAAAGGTCGCTTCAAAGCCTGGAGCCTTTGCTCCGTGGCGAGCTGCTCGGCCTGGTATTCGCCGAGGCGCTCGTGGAAGCGAACACTCTCCACTTGCTTCAGCCTTCCGACGAAGCCAAGGCGCACTTGACACCTGTTTGCTATAGGATCCAGTCACATTAACACTACGCAAAAGGAAGCCTCACAATTTTGCTCTGCGTCTGTTAGACGATAAGGCCCGAGCGCATAGCGAAGGTAGACATCGTGTGTCAGTTTGTGTTCAGACCACAAAGAATCCAGCCACCAGCCTTTGACTGGATAATCTTTCCAAGGTTCATACCCAGATGTGGCTACCTTCAAAGTCCCGACCTGCAGATGAGGCTGGTTCATAAACAAGGGCCCTGTTTTCCAACCCCTTCCCTGTGTTGGACAGCCCTGCCGATGCCTTGTCCGCAAAGACATAGAAATGACCGTGGTTTTTCATTTCCCTCATCTTCGCCCCCCGACCTGCTGTGGCTTGCGCATTGGGTCGAACGCCGTTGAAAGTGACGGCACGAAGGCCTGTCCAATCAACAGCTTTATTGAACTCCATGAAGACATGCAGGTGGAGGCGGCCCTCAATACCAGATCGTAGAGACGTCTCCATCGTAGCTGTCCAGCGGAAGACGAACTCGAGGGTTTGCAGCCAGGCCACAAAGGGCTCCCACCAGTCTTCAGACAGCTCGGCCGAGTTGTACGTGAAGAGGCACGATGCTGCGCGCAAGCGGTAGCCTGTGTCGGCTGCATCGTCAGAGCCTGAGAGCTTTATGAGCAAACCCTTCTCTTCCAACTCATTTAGCATATATGCTACAACGTGGCTCGCAGGAACTGGCTGCGATGGCTGCTGAGCCTGCACTTGCCCGACAACTGGCAGCGGTGGCACCTCAAATCGGTCGAAACAAGATACCTACACTCCGTCAGTCCTTGCAATCTCTGGCGTGCAGTCTACATGCGCTGTCCGCCTGCGGGAGCGTACCATCGTATGCTGCCACAATGTCACGGAGCTTCTGCTGCTGCTCGGGGGTCTGCAGTCGCGGCTTTACCTTGAGCTTGTGGATGAGTCTTTTTATGGGGCGGACGGAGAGCAAGCCGAACATGCATTGCAAACGAAGCCTAGTAGCCTCGTCGGCCAATGCCTGAAACTCCTGCTGATTGTAATCAGCTCGACCATGATGGTCAGGAGAAGGCTCCACTCCGACCGTCTGCATGAGGGTCCGTAGCTCGCCACATGCGTTCCTCTTGCGCAGCTGCGTCTGCCGCTTCTGTGCGGCAGGCGGCGTGCTTTGCCTGCGTCAAGTGCATATTCGGGAGCAAGTTGTTTTCAGCTCATGTTTTTGATGTGTCTGCTCTCTCCACGACAAACGTTTTTCTTGGGCTGACCTGCGAGGGGGACCCAAATCGGGTTCAGTGAGACTTAGACCCGGTGAGTCATCTTCTGTAAACCCGATTTTGGATCCCACGTAGACGTAGACAAGAGCTGGGACCCACCACGTTCCACACAACCCGATTTGGGTCCCACGTAGAGAAGGGCTGGGNNAGGGCTGGGACCCACCGCGTCCCACCAAACCCCATGTGGGTCCCACGTGCTGGGACCCGGTGGATCCTGGCTCTTCTCTACGTGAGACCCGAATTGGGGTTTCATGGGACCTGGTGGGTCCCAGCTCTTCTCTACGTGGGACCCGAATCGGGTTTCGCGGGACCTCGTAAATCCCAGCTCTTCTCTACGTGGGACCCGAATCGGGTTTCGTGGAACCTCGTAAATCCCAGCTCTTCTCTACGTGGGAC